GCACGGCGTGAGTCTATTGATGGTAGTTGAAAGAAAATAAAGAGCTCTCACTGACTTTTGCAAAGTCCTGTCTGAGATGCTGAATTGATTTTTTCCCCCCCTTTTTTTTCCCCCAGGTGGCCAGAGGCTCAGCCACTTCAATTTTCTTAGAGGCCTTTCTGAGTCATAGGAAGGCTTAATCATTGTGTGTAATAAACTAGATCTTTTTTTGAGTAAAACCAGTAGAAAGTATGCTTTCTGGTTCTTGAAACAAAAATTTTTCTTCTCTCTTTCTTACCTTTTACAACTTAAATTGCCCTCAGTCTCAAAGCAGAACACTGAAACACTAACTTCTGAAAATGTTAGTTCTTTTTGTTGTCCTGAGCATAGTTGTGTTGGAATATGGCTTCAGTTTGAACCTGCATCTTTCCTTTAACTACTTGCATGAAAATTATTAGAGGTTTTAAAAATTATTTAAGATATTATTAAAATGAGATTAATAAATTAAGAGTGAGATTATTAAAATCAAATGGCCACTCTTCCTCCCCATTCAGGAGGGCTTCAGTAGTTAATGCTGAAGTGCAGGTTAACTGTCTACATGGAGAGTGTTGCCTGGCTTTGCATGTTAGTGTTTAACTGGTGGCATAAATATATTTATTTTTTGAAAAGCTGTATTTATTTTCATGAAAAACCACATTAGAATTATAGGATTTATTAAACAGCCAATAAAATTGTTAACTGTGGGCTTATTAGATTTTTCTTTAACTTTCTTAGACATAGACTGATGATATTTTAATATCTTGGGCTATTTTTCTTTTGCATTTCACATGGAGCCAAAGAAAGCCTGTCTGACTTTCTAATGGTGTCAAGAACTGCATATTGTTAGCTTCAGACCAATTGGTGGCAAACTTTCATGTTCTAAAAATCCCAAAGTGACTCTGAGCTTGGCTCATAGCTGTAGATGTAGCTAGCTAAGATGTAGTGGCCGAAGGTAGAGGATTACTTAGTAGCCAACTACCAAGCAGTAAAAAAGAACACCACCACAACCCCCCAAACTACAAAACTAAACAACTGTTCCAGACCACTTGCCTTGTGTCATCTGAGAGTTGAAAGTGATTTTGTCCTTACCAATGCATTAAAAAATAAAAAGAGCAGAGAGAATCAAGTTCTGGGATGGAAAAGTTAATAATTAATATAGTTCAAAAATTATGATAAATTATTAATAAGAAAATCATGGTTATCGATACTCATGTCAATACCAGAATGAATGGAAACTCATGTCTTCGAAGCATTTTCTTATGGAAAATTGTCTTGCAAAATGAAACCAATAGGTTATAAAGTTTGCTCTCGAGTTTTACAGAGGATCAAGCACTTTTTAAAATTTGCTAGGGGAATACTCTGTTCAAACCGCCTTGAGCACAGCGCATTGCACTAGGAATATGGCATTGCCTTTGCCATTTGAAGAAACTCATTTTAACACCTTGGCAAATGGTGTGAAGGGAAACCATTGGTGCTTCCTG